TTATACCTATTTGCATATGGACTTCTATTATTTATATATTGACGTCATCCCAGTCTTTATAGTAAAAATGATAACCCCGTTTGTATTTTATGACCGATGACATATATTAATAAAAGGGCGCAGGAGTTAATAAGCATAATAAAACAATATAACACTTTGACGTGACGTCATTTGTGCTACATATTATAGCATAAAACCGGCTATTTTCCCCTCTTTTGCCCATGTTATAACGGGACCAAAACCATGTGTTAACATAGTCACGCTCTCTTGTTACAGCCCGGTTTTACCTATGCGCAATACATACAGGGCCCAGTAAACAAACAAATAAATGACAAGTTTGCCTGTTTGTCAAAGAGTCATGCGCTCTTGTTATAATTGAAATAATTGATTCGAGGGCCTCAATCGCACGGTGAGCAGCATTCAAGTAACTATGCCGGAAATACGGCGTATAGACATCGCCGCTAATCTTGGTTTTCGCCCTTTCTAAGAAACGGACAGTAAATATTTGTCATTCAGTTTAACTTTCCGATTAACTTACAAAACAAGAAATTCCTACGCATCAAAACTCCAAACAGGTGTTAAATAGCCGATATACACCTCTCAGGCCGATGTTATTTCTTAAATATTATGCTCGCCATGATATAACTTTATTCAACTTATTCAATAAATTCAGTATTGAATTTTAACTCATTTAATATCCTCTTTAAATGTATCATTTAAAACAAGTCAGCTTGTTTATAACATAATTATGAAGAACTAATTACATTTTATTTCAGGAATTATATCTGTTTAATATTATATTTGGAAACTTTTTATTATAATAGTCAATGGTTACACTTACTGGATCTGCCTTTTGTAACTCTGAAATGTTTGCTTCTATAGCTTCCCAGACTTTTATAAGATGTTCGTCACTTTGTTCTGGGGATTTCATTTGAGCTACAATGTAATGATTGTTACATGTAAAATGTAACATTAGTGCCAACGAACATATGAGCCGCGTCACGACAAAACCAACATAATGGGTTTGCGACCAGCATGGATCCAGACCAGCCTGCGCATCCGCGCAGTCTGATCAGGATCCATGCTGTTCGCTATCAGTTTCTCTACTTGTTATAGAGTTTGTAAGCGAACAGCATGGATTCTGATCAGACTGCGTGGATGCGCAAGCTGGTCTGGATCCATGCTGGTGGCAAACCCATTATGTTGGTTTTGTCGTGACACGGCTCAATTATCAAGTCGCCTACAATTCTACAGTATATTGTATTCAAAAATTAAGATGGTATCATGTAGATCTCTTATTGATCTTGCATTCAGTAACTTACTTAGAATAGAAACAAAACTTTAACTAAGTTAAGGTGAAAAGTATAATACCATTGCTTTTACGTTGTTTCGGGACAGGCTTTGTCCGAAGTCCTTCTGTTATAATGCCTTGAATCTTTCTTTTAGAGTATGCATTCTGTTTCATGTTGTCGTCTGCTCCGTTACCCTCAAACGTGTTCTCATTACCCGCTATTACTTTGCATGGACCTAATGCCCCATTAACACAGGCATCTGTTTTGTCGTCATTGTGTCCGTCTTGGTATCTTGTATCACCTTTGGAATTTACAATGGTTTGTGTAGTTGAAGAACATGGACATGGACATTCCATTTCGCGTGAATAGTGAATTACCTTTACATCTTCCGAATTTTGCTCTTGACCTTGTACGGAAAGATTTTCACTTTGAACGATTGGCGATGTGTGAAGTTTCTCTAACTAAAAATGCAAAACAAAATTATTATTTACGCATAAGAACGACAAGAGATATAGAGGTGCAATTGTTGCATTCATGAATTTCCATGTATAATTATACATGTACTACAACTCTGTTTTACCAATGATGATTCGAAACAGCTTTATAAAAGTATGAGTCATTATATCTACCTCGCTTTGATCTTGTTTCAATTGTTGTTGCGGGACCCGGATCCGGATGTAGTCATTATCTTCTTCTTGTTTTGGAGATGACTCATCCACAGGCAGTGTCTGTGAAAAAATATAAACAATATTTTAGTGAGATGCTCACATCATTTTGCTTGTCAAGTCATATTTTATCCTGCGATTTTGCCCACCTTTGTTTACAGGAAATGACGTCAACGTCATATGAAGGACAACGACGTCAAAATGTAATACATAATTTGGCGTATAAATGTAATACATGTGTACATGTATTTATCACACACACGTGCCGATTTTGCGACTCCGTAAATATGGTATTGCACGGCCGTACATGTATTTTTACGTGACGTCATTAGCGTTATACACACATAGTGTAAAGACGCGCTAAATGTTAGCGTTATACTGTAGGCGCGTCAATGAAAAATGACTCTTATTTCACTTTAAACGGTCTTTATTTTGGGTATGTGATAAATAGAATATTAAATTCGTGTAAGTTCATTACTGAATTTATTGCACTCGTTGAATAAAACAATATTATGCTCGCCAGAGGCTCGCATAATATGATTTTTATTCAACTCGTGCAATAAATTCAGTATTGAACTTACACTCATTCAATATCCTCTATTTATCACACACCCGTGCCGATTTTGCGACTCCGTAAATATGGTATTGCACGGCCGTACATGTATTTTTACGTGACGTCATTAGCGTTATACACACATAGTGTAAAGACGCGCTAAATGTTAGCGTTATACTGTAGGCGCGTCAATAAAAAATGACTCTTATTTCACTTTAAACGGTCTTTATTTTTGGTATGTGATAAATAGAATATTAAATTCGTGTAAGTTCATTACTGAATTCATTGCCAGAGGCTCGCATAATATAATTTTATTCAATTCGTGCAATAAATTCAGTATTGAACTTACACTCATTCAATATCCTCTATGTATGATCTTCATAAAAATACAAAACACTGGTAAAGATGCAGTAAAAAGCAATGTAAAATTAGAAAACCAGCATAAACTACATATTGACATGAAATTAGTTTAAAGTCATAAGCAAAAAATAAAAAAATATATTAAAATGAATATTTTTAATCTACAAAATTAATAAAGTATTTTGGAATTCAAGCCATCAGGAATAATTGTACCTAGTTTATACATCCATGAAGTTTCTTTTAATAATCTATACCAATTTTTCTTTACTTTATCAATTGGCATGAATGAAAATTCTTTGATAGAATGCCCTTCAGAATTAAAATGTTCAGATACGTTGGTAATAGTGTCAGAAAAGTGTTTAATATCAAATTTGTGACTATTCATTCTTTGGCTACATTTTTGTTGAGTTTGACCAAAATATTGTTTTTTACAAGTTATAAGATAAATGACATCTGAAGATATACATGAAAAATCACGATTTATAGGAAATTCTTTAGGTATAGTAGCACTTGAAAAATTATTAGATTCAACAATATTATTACAATGAGTACAACGAGGTCGACAGAAATTAACAAGTCTAGGAATTCCAAAATAAAATTAGAATAATAATTTTAAAAATAGCTACTAATAGTATAGCGATTAGTCGGACTTCACGGAAGTGTAGTTTTCCTGGCTCTATACTAGTAGCATTAAAGTGACTTTATGCATTAAAGTGTTATTTTCTTCATTTTTTCAATGTCAAGTTGAGCTGAATTAACTATATATTTGAGCCGCGTCACGACAAAACCAACATAATGGGTTTGCGACCAGCATGGCTCCAGACCAGCCTGCGCATCCGCGCAGTCTGATCACGATCCATGCTGTTCGCTTACCAACTCTATTACAAGTAGAGAAACTGATAGCGAACAGCATGGATCCTGATCAGACTGAGCGGATGCGCAGGCTGGTCTGGATCCATGCTGGTCGCAAACGAACTATGTTGGTTTTGTCGTGACGCGGCTCATTTCAGAAGTTTGTCTGTTATAACGGTGATTGATCAATAGTTGATATTGAAAAATATGTTTAAGGATAAAACATAAATCTGCCTGAAATATAAAAAGACTGTCCCATTTTTATTTATAAATTGGACGTTACAGGTTAATTCCGATAGTTATTTAAGGAAATTTTCTTGGGCAACGTGCATAATCAATCGTTCATGCAGAGTGAATTATAAAATTGAAATTAATAGACTTACTCCTGAATTAAGATTTTTTTCGCAGCTAAATTAAATTCGGATATACAAACAAACTTTTACATGCAGAGCCTCGACAATAACCGCAACAGGTTGACCGGTAGTCATATTTATATAATCTTTATTTAAGTCTCATCCATAAGGACAACGACGTCAAAATGTAATACATAATTTGGCGTATAAATGTAATACATGTATTTATCACACACCCGTGCCGATTTTGCGACTCCGTAAATATGGTATTGCACGGCCGTGCATATATTTTGACGTGACGTCATTAGCGTTATACAAACATAATGTAAAGACGCGCTAAATGTTAGTGTTATACTATAGGCGCGTCAATGAAAAATGACTCTTATTTCACTTCAAACGGTCTTTATTTTGGGTATGTGATAAATAGAATATTAAATTCGTGTAAGTTCATTACTGAATTTATTGCACTCGTTGAATAAAACAATATTATGCTCGCCAGAGGCTCGCATAATATGATTTTATTCAACTCGTGCAATAAATTCAGTATTGAACTTACACTCATTCAATATCCTCTATTTATCACACACCCGTGCCGATTTTGCGACTCCGTAAATATGGTATTGCACGGCCGTACATGTATTTTGACGTGACGTCATTAGCGTTATACAGACATAGTGTAAAGACGCGCTAAATGTTAGCGTTATACTGTAGGCGCGTCAATAAAAAATGACTCTTATTTCACTTTAAACGGTCTTTATTTTTGGTATGTGATAAATAGAATATTAAATTCGTGTAAGTTCATTACTGAATTCATTGCCAGAGGCTCGCATAATATAATTTTACTCAATTCGTGCAATAAATTCAGTATTGAACTTACACTCATTCAATATCCTCTATGTAGGATCTTCATAAAAATACAAAACACTGGTTAAGATGCAGTAAAAAGCAATGTAAAATTAGAAAACCAGCATAAACTACATATTAACATGAAAAATAAAAAATATATTAAAATGAATAATTTTAATCTGCAAAATTAATAAAGTATTTTTGAATTCATGCCATCAGGAATAATTGTACCTAGCTTATATATCCATGAAGTTTCTTTTAATAATCTATGCCAATTTTTCTTTACTTTATCAATTGGCATGAATGAAAATTCTTTGATAGAATGCCCTTCAGAATTAAAATGTTCAGATACGTTGGTAATAGTGTCAGGAAAGTGTTAAATATCAAATTTGTGACTATTCATTCTTTGGCTACATTTTTGCTGAGTTTGACCAACATATTGTTTTCTACATTTTTTACAAGTTATAAGATAAATGACATCTGAAGATAAACATGAAAAAACACGTTTTATAGGAAATTCTTTAGGTATAGTAGTACTTGAAAAATTATAAGATTCAACAATATTATTACAATGAGTACAACTAGGTCGACCAATAGTGAACAGTCCATTTAAAAGTCTAAGGAATTCCAAAATAAAATTAAAAAAATAATTTTTAAAAATAGCTACCAATATTATAGCGATTAGTCGGACTACACGGAAGTGTAGTTTTCCTGGCTCTATACTAGTATAATTAAAGTGACATTATGCATTTAAGTGACATTTTCTTCATTTTTTCATTGTCCAGTTGAGCTGAATTAACTATATATTTGAGCCGCGTCACGACAAAACCAACATACTGGGTTTGCGACCAGCATGGCTCCAGACCAGCCTGCGCATCCGCGCAGTCTGATCAGGATCCATGCTGTTCGCTTACCAACTCTATTACAAGTAGAGAAACTGATAGCGAACAGCATGAATCCTGATCAGACTGAGCAGATGCGCAGGCTGGTCTGGATCCATGCTGGTCGCAAACGAACTATGTTGGTTTTTTCGTGACGCGGCTCATTTCAGAAGTTTGTCTGTTATAACGGTGATTGATCAATAGTTGATATTGAAAAATGTGTTTAAGGATAAAACATAAATCTGCCTGAAATATAAAAAGACTGTCCCATTTTTATTTATAAATTGGACGTTACAGGTTAATTCCGATAGTTATTTAAATAATTTTCTTGGGCAACGTGCATAATCAATCGTTCATGCAGAGTGAATTATAAAATTGAAATTAATAGACTTACTCCTGAATTAAGATTTTTTTAGCAGCTAAATTAAATTCAGATATACAAACAAACTTTTACATTTAGAGCCTCGACAATAACGTTAACCGCAACAGGTTGACCGGTAGTCATATTTATATAATCTTTATTTAAGTCTCATCCATACATTACTATAAAAAACAACATAAAACAATTCAATAACCTAATTTTACAAAATAAACGTTGATTGTATACGGCCATTTTATTCAGAATTCCAAGAGAGCGATAACATCTTGTCCTCTGGCTTCACTTTTGACAATTGGCGATGTGTGAAGTTTCTCTAACTAAAAAAAAAATTATCATTTACGCATAAGAACGACAAGAGATATAGAGGTGCAATTGTTGCATTCACGAATTTCCATGTATAATTATACTACAACTCTGTTTTGCCAATGACGATTCGAAAAAGCTTTATAAAAGTATGAGTCATTATATCTACCTCGCTTTGATCTTGTTCCCATTGTTGTTGCAGGACCCGGATGTCGTCATTATCTTCTTCTTGTTTTGGAGATTGTTGTTGCGGGACCCGGATGTAGTCATTATCTTCTTCCTGTTTTGGAGATGACTCCTCCATGGGCAGTGTCTGTGAAAAAAATATATACACTATTTTATTGAGATGCTCACATCATTTTGTTTGTCAAGTCATATTTTATCCTGCGACTTTGCCCACCTTTGTTTACAGGAAATGACGTCAACCTCATATGAAGGACAACGACGTCAAAATGTAATACATAATTTATTTATCACACATCCGTGCCGATTTTGCGACTCCGTAAAAATGGTATTGCACGGCCGTGCATATGTTTTGACGTGACGTCATTAGCGTTATACAAAGATAGTGTAAAGACGCGCTAAATGTTAGCGTTATACTATAGGCGCGTCAATGAAAAATGACTCTTATTTCACTTTAAACGGTCTTTATTTTGGGTATGTGATAAATAGATTATTAAATTCGTGTAAGTTAATTGCTGAATTTATTGCACTCGTTGAATAAAATAATATTATGCTCGCCAGAGCCTCGCATAATATAATTTATTCAACTCGTGCAATAAATTCAGTATTGAACTTACACTCATTCAATATCCTCTATTTATCACCACACCCATGCCCGATTTTGCGACTCCGAAATATGGTATTGCACGGCCGTGCATATATTTTTGTCGTGAACGTCATTAGCTTTATATAAACATAGTGTAAAAATGCGCTAAATGTTAGCCTTATACTATAGGCGCGTCAATGAAAAATGACTCTTATTTCACTTTAAACGGTCTTCATTTTGGGTATGTGATAAATAGAATATTAATTTCGTGTAAGTTCATTACTGAATTTATTGCACTCGTTGAATAAAATAATATTATGCTCGCCAGAGGCTCGCATAATATAATTTTATTCAACTCGTGCAATAAATTCAGTATTGAACTTACACTCATTCAATATCCTCTATTTATCACACACCCGTGCCGATTTTGCGACTCCGTAAATATGGTATTGCACGGCCGTACATATATTTTGACGTGACGTTATTAGCGTTATACAAACATAGTGTAAAGACGCGCTAAATGTTAGAGCGTTATACTATAGGCGCGTCAATGAAAAATGACTCTTATTTCACTTTAAACGGTCTTTTATTTTGGGTATGTGATAAATAGAATATTAAATTCGTGTAAGTTAATTCTGAATTTATTGCACTCGTTGAATAAAATAATATTATGCTCGCCAGAGGCTCGCATAATATAATTTTATTCAACTCGTGCAATAAATTCAGTATTGAACTTACACTCATTCAATATCCTCTATTTATCACACACCCATGCCGATTTTGCGACTCCGTAAATATGGTATTGCACGGCCGTGCATATATTTTGACGTGACGTCATTAGCTTTATATAAACATAGTGTAAAAATGCGCTAAATGTTAGCCTTATACTATAGGCGCGTCAATGAAAAATGACTCTTATTTCACTTTAAACGGTCTTCATTTTGGGTATGTGATAAATAGAATATTCTAACACTATCGGAATTTTTTCTATATAAACAAAGAAGGCCCGAAGCGTGCATTATTCCACAACAATGCACTCGCCGTTCTTATTATCTCCCTGTATTTTTTCACATTGAGGGCGCCATTTTGTTTGAAAAATCTGATAAATAAAAACATTTTTTGTCGAATTTTGTTGTGAAAACTGTCTAGAATGAAAGCAAATGGTCTAACTAAGAAAATGAATCCGAACACCAATATCTTTAATTCAGTCGTTAACGCTGTACAGACGTTTAAAGTGTTGTTTACGTGACGTCACAATAATGTAGCGGCAAACAGCACGTGCAAAACAATCAAATCAAGTACGCTATTTTTAATGCCGCAAACGAGTTAAGTTTTACATTTATTCCACTTTTAATAAGTTGTATTTCGCTTGAAAAATTATAGAGTGAAATAAAATAAACATACAAAGTTTCATCAACGTTTTCAAAATTCGTTATTCTGAAAAATGTTTCTACACACGGTAGATTTAACGACAGTTTTTTTCAACCCACCGGAACAGCCTTAAAAGAACGTTTCTATTGGAAACTCTGAGGCGAAAACAAATTTAAACACCAAATATAAAGTCCAACTTTATCATATAATAATATTTTTCTTTCCTTGTTAGAATGGAATAGATATTAATTTTTCGTGCATTATTGTATAATAATGCACGTTTTTCGTTCAAATGCTTTGTAATTAATCACTCAGGCCTATCGGCCTTCGTGATTATATTACTACGCATTTGATCTCAAACCGTGCATTATTCTACAACAATGCACTCAGAATTGATATCTATTTCCTAATTAATTTCGTGTAATTTCATTACTGAATTTATTGCACTTGTTGAATAAAATTATATTATTCAACTCGTGCAATAAATTCAGTATTGAACTAACACTCATTCAATATCCTCTATTTATCACACACCCGTGCCGATTTTGCGACTCCGTAAATATGGTATTGCACGACCGTACATATATTTTGACGTGACGGTATTAGCGTTATACAAACATAGTGTAAAGACGCGCTAAATGTTAGCGTTATACTATAGGCGCGTCAATGTAAAAATGACTTTATTTCATTTTTAAAAGGGCTTTTTTTTTTGGTTTTGTGATAAAAAATTTTAAAAATTCGTGTAGTTTAAATTTTGAATTTTTTTGCAACTGGGTGAAAAAAGAAAATATTAGCTCCCCCAGAGGCCCGCATAAAAATTTTATTAAACCCCGTGCAAAAAATTCAGTATTAAACTTACACTCATTTAATATCCTCAAATTGGGGAAATCTTCAAAAAAAATACAAAACACTGGTTAAGATCCCAGTAAAAAACCCAATTTTAAAAAATTAGAAAACCAGAAATAAACACATTTTTAAAACATAAAAAATTTAAAAAAAAATATTAAAATGAAAAATTTTTAAATCGCAAAATTAAAAAAGTTTTTTTGGGGAATTCATGCTATCAGGAAAAATGTCACCTAGCTAATATATCCATAATTTCTTTTAATAATCTATTGCCAATTTTTCTTTACTTTATCAATTGGGCAAATGAAAATTTTTTTGAAGAATGCCCTTCAAAAATAAAATGTTCCCAGAATACGTTGGGTAAATAGTGTCAGGAAAGTGTTAAATTATCAAATTTGTGAACTATTCATTCTTTGGCTTACATTTTTGCTGAGTTTTGACCCAAATACAGATGTTTTCTACCATTTTTTACAAGTTAAAAAGATAAAGACATCTGAAGATAAACCATGAAAAAACACTTTAAATATGAAATTTTCTTTAGGGTATAGTAGTACTTGAAAAAATTATAAATTCAACAATATTATTACAATGAGTAAAACTAGGTCGACCAATAGTGAACATCAATTAAAAAGTCTAAGGGGAATTTCCAAAATAAAATTAAAAAATAATTTTTAAAAAATATCTACCAAATATTAAGCGATTAGTCGGACTCAGGGAAATGTGGGTTTTCCCTGGCTCTATACTAGTAAAATTTAAAAGTAAACATTATGCATTTAATTTGCCCTTTTTCTTAAATTTTTTCATTGCCCATGGGGACCCTGAAATAACAATAAAATTTTGAGCCCGTCACGAAAAAAACCAAAAATTAGGGGTTTCCCCGAAAAAGAAATGGCCCAGACCACCTGCGCATCCGCGCATTTCTGATAAAAGACCATCTGTTCGTTTAAACCCAATCTATTTACAAGTAAAAAGGAAACTGATAGGAACAGCATGAATCCTGATAAAGACTAGAAAGATCCCGCAGGCTGGTTTCGGGATCCATGCGGTCCCCCCAAAACAAACTTTTGTTTGGGTTTTTTCGTGACGGGGGCTAAATTTCAGAAGTTTGTCTTTTAAAAACCCGGTGATTGATCAATAGTTGATATTGAAAAATGTGTTTAAGGATGAAATATAAATCTGCCTGAAATATAAAAAGACTGTCCCATTTTTTTTTATAAATTGGACGTTACAGGTTAATTCCGATAGTTATTTAAGGAAATTTTCTTGGGCAACGTGCATAATCAATCGTTCATGCAAAGTGAATTATAAAATTGAAATTAATAGACTAACTCCGGAATTAAGATTTTTTTCGCAGCTAAATTAAATTCGGATATACAAACAAATTTTTACATTTAGAGCCTCGACAATAAGCGCAACAGGTTGACCGGTACTCGTATATAATCTTTATTTAGTCTCATCCATACATAATAACATAAAACAATTTAATAACGTAATTTTACAAAATAAAAGTTGATTGTGTACGGACATTCTATTCGGAATTACAAAAGAGCGATCAAAGTTTGTTTGTACTGGGGTATTTGCTTGGGGAAAAAAAAGCCGAAGTCCGGATAACATCTTTTGCAAAATGTATAGACTACTTATTTTGACTTTCACCTATTCACTCATATTATACCATTGCATGGACATAATGCCACTTTAATGTTAAGTGTTAATGACACAGGAACAGTTGACTTTGGCGAGTAGATTCTGAACCAATCATAGAAAGAATAAATGTAATATTTTTATTGTGTACAACGAGTCGCTAAGATTGTGATGACATAGCAATTTTCTTGTTACGTGCGCATGCGCATTATCTGTACTTTTGGCGGAAAACTGCAAATTGACTAATGAAAACCTAATGATAGCTAAATGTATTGACTTACAGTCACAACTGTTTTACTGGTGTTGACATTTATCTGGGACTGTCTGGCCATGTTTTGAGGAATCATCTCTTCGTCATCTGACACGGAAGTGACGTCATCGGAGTCCGACATGGATTCCAAATCTTCAAGGTCAGTCATCAGTCAGATCTAAATGCAACTCGCTGACTTAACCTACCAATAGACGAAAACTTGGAGTATGAAAGTCGTAAATATAAATCCAAATTATCTATAACTACAGCGCCAATCAAAATTATTTATTAATCCCTCTGCAAAGATTCCGTTTGTTTCTCGGTCCATGTATGCGAGACAGTTCACAAAGAAGTATTTTCTTCACTAACCTTTAAGATATTTCATTATTTGACATGTTTTAAAGTGTAGAGCCGGTTCATTATGGTAAATAACCAAAGACATATAGACTGTGTATTGGGACAAAATCAGTACTCAGTAAAAATTGTAAAATGGAATCGCGTGAATTTCCTTGTGTTCAGCTTTTCGGTTTCACTTTACGCAAAAATACTTCGTTAATAGAAAGAGCATCGAAACGCGAGGCTATCTGATTTTACGAGGGGCGCAGCCCCCGAGAATAAATCAGATTGCCGAGTGTTTTGATGTTCTTTCTCTTTTGTATCATAGTCATACATAAAAGCACGTTCCCTGTTGTCACAATATGAAACCCCAGAACAAAATTAACCAATGAACGAGCATCTGAATATGAAATTTCTATCGCTTTCCTTTCTCTGCCGTCACAATAAGTAAACCCCAGCAATAATGAGCCAATTAATTAGCATGGTAATTAATAACTGCTCTCCAGTTAACACACTGTGCATGTATATGTATACGATTTAACTCTGACACATTTTCAACAGAAAGGTCCCCCAAACTCGAGCAAGTATGAGATACATGGTTCGATATAACATATATTCACATAGTAGAAATAAATTGTTCTAGAACAAAATATTATTATTCATTCCATAATTGGTCATATTAGATTAATCTAGAACTTTATCAACATTTTTTTCAAGCAATATTTTATAAGGATATTCAAATTATACAGTTGTATAGTTTTTATCAATATTTGAAAAAATTTGAGCCGCGTCATGACAAAACCAACATAATGGGTTTGCGACCAGCATGGATCCAGACCAGGATCCATGCTGTTCGCTATCGTTTTCTCTACTTGTAATAGAGTTGGTAAGCGAACAGCATGGATCCTGATCAGACTGCGCGGATGCGCAGGCTGGTCTGGATCCATGCTGGTCGCAAACCCATTGTGTTGGTTTTGTCGTGACGCGGCTCATTTGTGTTCATTTTATACCAATCCACTTTAAGTGTATAAAAAAATGAAAAACATCTCACATTAAAAAATAATCTTATGTTAAGAAATGGGGAATTGAACTCACAAGCCCTTTGGTTGTATCCATGCGCATGCTTCTGCTCTTTATATACAAAGTCTAAATATTTTTTTCTTGTATCACCATGTATGTCATTTAAAAGCCCAACAAGATGATTTTATTAATGACAAGAGAGAAATTCTAATTTTTTACGGTATATTAATACATGAGGTAATAAATGTATGAATCATATGACAAAAGAAGCTAAAAAAAATAAAGAATGAAAAAAAATCTTTCTCTTTCTCCTCACTAATCGCAATGGTAACAAGATCGTCTATCTTTCGTTTACCTGAAATGCTTCGAAATTTTCGTGAAAGAGACTCTCGCAAAGTTTACCTTCTTTTGGTCTGCTATGACAGTTTCCCGTCGCTTTTATTCGCAGTTATCACAAGTATTTTAGATTTAATGTTGTGTATATATCTCTGGTGCCTCACAGCTGTAGCGCGCAAACGATAATGAAGCTTGGTAACGACGTTTTCATGACGTCATAATAACAGCGACGTCACAATAACCTCAAATTCAAGATATTTCGCCAATGACGTCATGACATTTTCTTAATCAGACGATTTGTTAGTAGGGTATTAAGTTATTCGTCTTTTTGTACCTTTAAAAGCTGCAGTTTAACTTCTGCAGGGTATCATTTTATGGGAGTCAACTATTTGTTGTTGCTGTTGAGTGGTGTTGCGAATGTTTATTTCGGGAAGAAATAATATAGTTGTTATGAAGAGGTACTGGACAGATCTTGATATTTTTTTAAACATGTTTACAGCATTATACATATATAATACTATGTTTGTACTTTGCGAACTTTAAGAAATAAATCACAATTCATATATGTATATGCGTTTAGCATATTATGGGAAATTTATATCTGGCTGTATATTAACCACCAGAGACCTTCCGTCATATTCAGTACGTCAAACCAGTGAAATCAAATAAGGTTACCTAAAAACAGAATATGTATTACTCCTTCCCGTGTTGTATTATATAAATTTGAATATATATATATCGAATGAACATAAATCATCAGGCTTTATCAGTTAATGATCATATAAATGTGTATAAGTATAAGGTATTTGAGTAATTTGGTAAGTTCGTGTTCTCGTGCATAAATTTCGACAAATCACGAGGAATTATATGAATTATATTAACGGGTTCACGATGCTATTTGTATTATTATCAATCTTAATATATAAAACATATAAACTTAATATGAACTTGTTATAAACTTTATATAAACTTAATATTCTTTGCCTTCGTATAGTACCTATAACATAGAAGAAGTTTGTCGTGTGATTATTTTTAATTATACGGACACATTTATTGAGAGCTGACATCTTTCTAGGATTACTTACGGAGGAAAGAAGTTCTATCACTGTACCAATGACATTTAAAACAGAATCGCAGAACATTCTGTTTGATCGAGTTAGTTCTCTCACGTCCCTATCCGATTTCGAAAATCTTTTATATATAATAACATATTTAACACCTGCTGTTATAGTGCTGCAAATCAGCTCATTTTACTAGCCTATTTAGAGGGGTAACTGGTCTATGTCAGCCAACAGCAAGTTTCATATACCAAAATGTTCGTTTGGATCTGTAGTTTCTGGAATGGATATTCATTTGGCCCAACCCCGATACGAAGCTAAGATATCCAAGATGGCGTCAAAGATGGCCGCCAAATCCCTAAATTTTCTAGTATATCTACGTTGGCTTATTTCCTTTTTCAGTTTTGTAAATCAATTGAAATTTTTCATAAAATTTCTTATTTTCAACTTACTCATGCTATAAATTTTGACTTTATTGATTTTTTTCTAGTTTTCATCAATTTAAACGAAAGAAGAAAAAATGTGTTGCAAACTGGGTGTCCTTTTCTGAATATGTGTAACTTATTAGTTTTATTCTTGTTTAAACTGAATAACATTCATGATTTCGTTTAATACAGCTTTAAATCTATATCTACACATATTTAGAATAAGTTAGAATAAGCGGACTATGCCATAAATGTGTTTTATTGATCTAAATTTATATACAAAGTGGGTGGGGTATTACGAACGGGGAGTCAACTTAAATTAAATACTTTTTTTTGTTTTATATTATAATAGTAATATAAAAAGTTAACAATTTTATTTAATTGGTTAGTGAATGAGACATTTTATCTTTCATAGAAAATGCCCTGCATGTGTGTCTAAATGTTGAAATATCAATTTTATTTGTTTTATGCACACAATAAGGAACTATTTACTGACCTGCAATTCGGTATTTGCTTGTCTTTTGTTAAGTTTTTTCTCCTTAGCCATAAACATTCATTGTTAGTCTTCAAATGTGATTTTGATTATACTTGTAGGTCACGGTTCAAGACCAGTACGCTAAGCATTTATTAGGCAATAATAATATCTATTTATTAACTTACAGAATTTCTCAGACAACATTTATCTCCACAACCATCATTAATGTAGGTTACTTCCCTCTTACATGTTTTTATTTCAAAGAGTTATACTACTTTATGAATAAGAGAATTTCTTTATTATGCAGGCTGTTGATTTTAAATATTCGAGCGTTCTGTCTGACATGCAGCTCTTGTTTTAAGGCATTGGCATAACATATGATAATCTACAATTGAACCATATTTGGAGTTTTGTCATTATTGATGACGGATATAATATATACATTAAAATATAAAATGTAATTTGCTAGAACATTTAAAATGGGTAGGTTATTCAGTTTACAGTAAGAGACTTTTCTGCTAGACTGTATCTGAATTATAAATAAAATATTATATAAATATATATATATATATATTGAGTGAATTGAAAATATATATATATATATATATATAAGATCAATTTCTTTTTAGCTAAACTATTCGACGATTAAGGACAACTATCCTAGTCCCCCGAACGTCGGCGTTAAAGTTTGCGTACCATCCATATGGCTTGAAACTTGCACACTTGTTTACCATCATGTCCTCCACTTTCAAACACTGGAGGAGGTCTATCAAGCATTTTGACAGAATTATGTCCCTTTGCCCAACTTTGAATTTACATTACCACCTCAGATAATTTCAAAATTCCATCGACTTACGCTTTGAGACCTTGCACACTTGTTCACCATCATAATCTCAACCTGTGTACAGAGGATGTCACTGTATTAAGCTTTTTTACAAAAGTATGTCCCATTTTTTTACTATCAAGCACTGAGAATAGTCGAGCATGCTGTCCTGCTGACTGCTCTTGGATGATTCTAATGAACGCAATTTATTTATTACTGGTAAACTTCTTTAAAAAGGCTATCATAAATTACGTAAATATTTTACAAAGTTCTGTCGTCGTAATTCAGATAAAATATATAATTTAATTGTACTTTAAATCCTTGAAGGTCGTTCAGCACGACATTATAGCAGTGTATAGATGTTATGTGGTACTTTCAGTTTTTTCTATTTGGCCTTCGGGATCATTGATCGCAAAAATTTTATAGTTGAGGATTGGATACTACTTAGTCGGTACTAAGAGACGTGAGATATGGTCTCTCATGAACAGACCCCATCAAACTGAGTTTGAATGATTGGCCTTTTTCGACTTCAACTTGGGTGGTTCCTGTACTGTATAATCACCCTTAGGATATGTTGCCTGCTTTTTAAATTTGTCTTTTTACGTCATATCTGTGATATGCGGGCTTCATAACCTCTGATCCCCTTTCAAAATTCAGTTTTATTTAGTTCCGCCCATTGTTTTCTCGTTTCGGGCACACGCAATCTTTTACTTGGGGACCATACGCCGCTTTTCATGGAATGGCACTACTGTGTCACATTGAAGGTTCCATGATAACCGCCGTATGAACACGTCTGCGGATGTTTCTAAATTCAAAATTTCACCTTTCACACATTTTAAATGTTGAATTCTGCTTAAGTCGGTGCTAAGGGGCGTGGACGGTAACTTGCACTTTCCAGTACCATCCATGAACAGGCTCAATCAAACCGAGCCTGCAACAGTTTCAATTTTGTTGTGTTGGACTTTGTTTAGGGATTCTGTTTTTCTCTATTTTATTCTTTTACGTCTTTGTATACGCAGGCCTGATTTATGTTGAGATGACAGCTTATCTGTGGCATGCAGGCTTCATAACCTCTGATCCCCTTTCAAAATTCCATTTTATTTAGTTCTGCTCATTGTTTTCTTGTTTAGGGCACACACATTCTTGTACTTGAGGACCATACGCCGCTTGTTATGGAATGACACTAAAGTGTCACATTGGAGGTTCCATGATAACCACATTATAAGCGCGTCTGCAGTTGTTTCTTAATCCAAAAGTTCACCATAACCATGATGTTGAATTCTGCTTAATTCGGTGCTAGGGGGCGTGTACTGTAGTTTGCACTTGACAGTGCCGTTCATGAACAGGCTCAATCAAACTGAGTCTGCAACATTTTCGTTTTTGACATTTTGTGCGTTCTTAATTGTTTAAATTCCGTCTTCTGTCTTGGTAAGTGATGTTCTTGTTGCTCTGTCTTCCTTTAAGGCATCGAGTACTTTGGTTATGGTAATTAAGCTGTACCTTAATTGTACATATTTACACGATCATGTATGTATGTATTTTGTTTATTTCGTCTAATGTAACCATAACAATTGTTGGAATTTTACTTGGCGGGGATTTATTTTATTTACACTGTGTCGTCGTATAGGAACATACCGGTAGTGGTAATTGCAAGTTACCTACCATCCACACCCTTTAGCACCGGCTTGAGCAGAATTCTCAATTTTACATATGGTACACTTTTAAAAGAAGTGAAGACACGTCCATAGATGTATTCATACGAAAGTGATCATGGTATCTTCAATGTAAAATGTTCGTGCAATCACATTGTCCACAAGAAATAGAGAACAATGGGGGAAACTAAATCATAGTGGGTGGGGTACGATTTGAACAATAATTCATTAAATAACTAGAAGCAAATTATCATATTCCTGGTTTATTATGTTAATTAGTTACATGGACTGCACTAAAGAAGCTATAATTTGACAGAAACACAAAATTTGGGGAAATAATTGATAGAAGAAATAAGTACCAGTTATAACCTGGGTGTCCTGCTTGGGTGTGTCCGGCGGCGGCGTACTGTGAACGTTGCCTTTGCCTTGTTGATCTTTATTCTTGTTATTTTACATTGAAAAACTATTTTAATGTACCGCCTCTCATTTTATATGTCTTACTGCATAATTACAAAGAAAGATTTCTTAAGATATGATATGAATGCATTAAAGCATTACTCTCATGAGTACATTACAATAGTGGAATAACAAAATAAGTAATAAATATTTATCTGTTTAAGCTAAGACAAGAGTATCATAGCAAAAACCCATATGTTTAGCATTATTTTGCTTAATTACGTATAAAAAAGCAAAAAGCAATCTGTTTTCTCCAATAAAATTAAATCTCTTCGTATAAAACGCTTTAAATGATATCTTGCGTGCAAAAAATTCACTTGAAATACAAAAG